TTGGATTTTTAAAAGAATTTTTTAAGGATCTTTAAACGAAGAACCTTAGACTTTTGTAAATATTTTTTTCACGGACTTCATACAAAGATTCGGGGATTTTTTAATTTTTTTTAAAGGAACTTGAGACTAAGGTACTTGTATTTTTTAAAAAATTATTTTTTTAGGACCAATAGACAAAGATAAGTGGACATTTTAAAGAACCAATAGACCATAAAATGTGGATTTTTTAGAGAGTATTATTTCATGGATCACTAGACCAAAAATCTTGATTTCTTTTAAGAAAATTTCTTTAGGACCAATTTACCATAAATTGGGGATTTTCAAAGAATATTTTACGGGGGACAAAACTCGTGATTTTTTAATAATCCTGGATTTTTAAGAAATAATCTTAAAGGACCAGATCTCATGATTTTTTAAATAAAATTTGTCAAGGGCCAAGGATTTGTAAGGTTATCGGCCCGACGTCAAGGAAGTGGACGGAAGAAAACGGCAACATCAGCAGAAATGGTTGGAAAAGTAAAGAAGCGACTTGTTCGAAACCCGCGTCGCAGTGGCCGAAAAATGGCTCCTGAACATATCACTTACTAATATTTCTGCCAACACAGGATCTGGTGTCATGATGAGGATATAGGCACAAAGTTTTGAATAACCATTACAAAAAGGAGAAATAAGAATTCTCTTCAAACTTCACACATGCCAATATTTTTACCAACACCATATCTGGTGCCACGCCTTCTGGTACCTCCCCAAAAAGGTGTCAACAATTTGAATAACCAAAACGCTGAAGAGAGGACAAAAAATATTTTCACTATACAAGATCCTTTCAGGTACCTCCCTTCCAAAAATTCAATGGTTGGTTAAAAATAAGGGCCAATTAAAATTAAAATTCAAGTGCCAATAATATAAAAAAAATCATATTTTTTCAAGGGCCAATGTACTAAAAATCTTGAAGCCTTCTGTAGCTAAGAGATAGAATACGTTCCAGAAGTCTTGTATGAATAGAACATTTTCCATAGGCCTCCTATGGGTAGAAAACCTTATACAGGTCTTCTATGGAAAGAAGACCATTCGTATTTTCATTTTTTATATCCGACCATTTTCTTAGGTGTGAATCAAACACACACCCCATGGAACCCACTGTTTCCCACCAAAAATACTGCATTGCACTATAAAACATAAAAATCCATTCCAGATTGTTGTTAATTCAAGCCGACACATGAAGTCAATGCTACCGCTCTTCCCGAAGGGGGAGAGAGCAATGGCAGAAGCCGACATGTAACAGTTTACTGCACTGCATCCATTGTGACTCGGACCACTCCAGATATTTTGACAGACAAGTTCATGACATTAAAAACATTCGTTCGTAATTTGTCCGCAACCGTTCGATCTGGGGGTGGGGAGTTAAGGGGGGGAGAGGAACAACAGCAATTTACAATTGTTGGATTCCTGGCTACTGATGCAGTAGTTCTATTGCTTGATTTTTTTTTTTTTTTTTTTTGTTATTATTCGTGTTTGTGTTTATGTTTTGCTCCACAGCAAAAGGGGAATGATAATGAAGAAGTAGCAATGTAACAACAACACAAACAATAACAACAACAACAAGACCCTGTGTCATGTAGGAAGAAATATGCAAAGTGCTTCATTGTGCGGGAATACAAGCTGTAGCTACCACTGGCGCTGCTGCTGCTGTCTTCATTCTTAGAGTGAAGTGCCTTTGGGCAATTTCCCTTTCTTTAATTCCCAAGCGTTGTAAATGTTGGTGCCATGCAAGCACCCTTCACAAACGTATCCACCCAGCACTTGAAGAGAACGACAGACCGTCCGACCGTCCGTCCGTCTGCCTTTTCACTTTGTTTGTATTTCTCCACTGTTATTTATTTAGATTTCCAAAAACATGTGAAAAAATATAATTGTTTATTTCTGAATCCTTTACTCGACCCCACATAGCTGTCCATCACATGTGACATTCCCATAACTTTCTTTTGTGGAAGTTTAGGTTCGTTTGGCTGGAATCCCTCCAACATTTGTTCACATTAACAGCGCATGCGCCTTAAATGTCTTTATTTGTCGTTCGAAGAGTTTTTCTGGTTGTTGTTGTTGTTTTTGTGTGGATGTCTTTCTTTAATTCCCTTTAATGTTGTTTTTTCATTCCTTTCCATTTTTTTCTGCTGGGGACATTTGGTGTTATTTTTCAGTGCCATAAGAAGCCTGGACCCAATGGTCTTGCATTTATGTATTTCTTTTTTGCTGTTTTCTTTTTTTACTTACTAATTGCTTTTTGAAGTTTTAATTTAAACAATTCCCCCTTCCCCCTCCTCATCCTTGGTTGGGAATGTTCTTTCTGCTCCCTGACAAGACAACTCTCAATTGTGACAGTCGATCCCCAAGATAATATTTTATTTTTTTCATTTTTATAATGGAGAGAGATTATTAATAGTGGCCATTAGTTTAACAATTAACAAATATTTGTTCAAATGTTGAAATGAAAATCCCCATTTGTAGTGGAATGTTCCGAATGAGAGGGTGGTCTAAAGAGGTCACTGTTTTTTTTTATAAAGAAGAGTTATAAAGTTATGTAAGGTTATATTTATCCCAAACTCGATTCAATAAAACATGATATTTAGATAGTTAGTTTCTTTGATTAAATGTGAGGGTCCAGTCTGAAAGGCGCAACAGATTTCTTAACAAAAAATGTTTAATTAGACCTTTTTATACTCCCATACCCATACCATGGAGGGTATACTAACTTTGTCACAACCGGCGAAGCGCTTGCTTGAGGTGGTCGACACTTTGGTATTTTTTAGTGCCGACCTTGCTTTCCAAAATATTCCAGACACAATAGTCCAACGGATTCGTATCCGGAGATTTTGGTGGCCATTATGCGCTGGAAATGAAGCGAGGAACCTCGTTTTGTAACCATTCTTGGGTAGGGCGTGTTGAGTGCGATGGTGCTGAGTCCTGTTGGAATGTCCAAGGTCTGCGGCCATAATGTTTGCATGCCCAAGGCTTTAATACACCCTCCAGAATATATTCGTAATAATATTCGGCATTTATTCTCATGCCACGGGAGAGCGACCATCAGCTGTTATGGCAGCCCACAATATCAACATGGCTGGCGCTTGAGTTCTGGTGGCCAACCGAAGGTGCACATTTTCAGCTGACCTCTTTTGCGAGTAAACACGATCATTTTGTTTGTTTACAAACTGCTGGACAATGAATGTTTTCTCATCGGAGAAACCCGAATTCGGCAGTTCACCACTTTCGGCCAAGCGAAGCAATTCTTGTAACCTATTTTCTTTCCGTTGAGGTGTAAGTTCTTGCACTTTTTGGAATTTCAATGGCTTTACCCCAAGCTTATTTTTCAATATTTGCCGAATGGAATATTGCGATATGTTCAGCTCACGAGCCATTTTTCAGCCACAGCGACGCGGGTTTCAATCAAGTCGCTGTTTTGCTGTTTTCTTCCGTCCACTTGCTTGACGTCAGGCTACGCTACCAGTATCACGATAACGAGCCATGGTATCTCACTTACAGGAACCAACCATTACATCCACATCAGATTTCAGGATTCTAGCTCTATCCCTTCACCCAATACCAAATTTAGTACTATTAAGTACTTTTCGTACAATTTAGTACACATTTGCAAAACCATCACCATATCTGAATTTCAGGTACCAACAGATGCCTTAATATCAAATTTTTGAATTCCGGCCCAATACCAAATTTAGTACCATTTAGTACTATTCGCACAAATAAACGACACATTTCCCAATCCATCTTCATATCTTAACCACAGACACCCACAGTGACATCCCTATTAAATTTCGGGGTTTCAGGTCTATTCTTTTACGGTTAAAAAAAAAATTGTACTATTTGGTACTTTTTGTACAATTATAGTACACATTTCCAAAATCGCCTTCATATCTCAATCCCAGATACCGATATAGACATCAATATCAAATTTCAGGATTTCGGCTGTATTCCTCACCCAATAACAAATTTAGTACCATTTAGTACTTTTTGTACAAAAATTGGTCACATTTTCATATCTTAACAAGGGACAGTAACAGTGACTTTAATATGAAATTTTAGGTTTCCAGCTCTATCGGATCACACATATCTCAATTGCACCAAATTTAGTACACATGAGTACGAATTTAAAACTAACTCCATACCGTAATCATACAACCCCATAGAAATCTCATTTTCAATTTCAGAATTCCAACTCTATCGTTTCACAAAAATTTCAATTTGTACCTAATTTAGTACCATTTAGTGCACATTGTTACAAATTTCCATAACTACCTACCGATTATACAATCCAAAAAATCTTATTTCCTAATTCCAGGGGTTTAGCTCTTCCGAAAAAATTAAAATTGTACCAAATTTAGTACCACTTAGTACATTTAAGTATGAATATCCAAAGCTTCCTACATACCCCATTCCTAAACTCCCACAATAATCCAAATTCAAAAGTTCAGCTTTGCATCCTTTTTGGTTCGCCTAAATACAAATTGTACCAAATTTAGTACCATATAGTGCAGAAAAGTACGAATTTTCAAAATTTCTTACATAACCCAATCCTAGACTCCAACAGTAATCTTAATTCCAATTTTTAGGATTCAAGCTCTAGAAGTTTACCGAAATTAAAATTGTACAAAATTTAGTACATCTTAGTACATATAAGTAAAATTTTCCAAAACTACGGACATATCCCAATCCTACATTCCGAAATTAATCTTATTTCCAATTTTCAGGATACCAGCTCTATTGGTACATCCAATAACTTGATCATCATAACTCAGGATTCCACACTCTACCGGTTGACCCAAAATTTAAATTGTATCAAATTTAGTACCATTTAGTACACATAATTACGAGTTTCCAAAACTACCTACATTCCTCAGAGCTAAAATGCAATAGTTATCTTGTTTCTAAATTTCGGATTTGAAATTTATTTAGTACCATATAGTACTTTGTTTTTTTATTTTCTCACTCACCATTATGTCCCGTATTTGTGATGATGACCCAAAAATCAATGGTCTTCTCTGGACCTAGCTCCTCATAGTCCCACTTCTTTTTGACACGCACGGCACCATTTGTTTCCACTGTTACCCAGGGATTTTCATCGCGTATTTTAAATGTTTCCTTATCGGTTTCCTTTTCCAACTGGAACACCGACTTCCCCTCCGTATCACCATCGGCTTCGGTAAATTCAATACGTTTCGTTGGACGGACGGCTCGGGTGACACGACGTTTTTCCCGGTGATGTGAATGTTCGTTGATGGCATCGTGTTCCAAGTGTTGCATTATAAAAGATACCGGCTCGGGTTGTAGGAATTCAATTAAGACCTTGGCAGGTTGTGAGCTAACTAGACTGGGGTAGCGTAAATCATGGGCCTCCACTTCCAGCAGCAGTTCCGTGGAAGGTGGCTGGCCAACGAGCATGATTTCACCCGTCTGAGGAACTATGATGACCGTATTGCTGGGCTGTTTCAGACGATAGGCAATTTTGTCGCCATCAGCATCGGCGGCCTCCACTTTGCCCACAATGCTAAAACGTTTCCAGGTGGTGGAACTGTTCGTGTCCAATTCAGGGTTTTTCTGGCCGGCAATGGCAAATTTGTAATCATGGGCCTTGAAAATGGGGCGATTGTCGTTTTCATCGAGCACGGTAACCTGGATTTTGGAAACAGTCTTGTCCACATCTTCCAGATCGGAGGCCTGTACCGACAAATCGTAGTGGGCTGTGGCTTCACGATCCAATGGGCGATTGGTGACCAACCAAACACCGCTTTCATCATCACCCGATATGATTAGGGAGGTGGAGCGTTCATCACTCTGCTTGGCACTGCGACTCTCCAGGGCAAAGGCACCATCTTCGTTGCCACCAATAATGGAATAACGTACCTTCTTGGGTTCCCCCTCCACCACATCGCCATTGCTAAAGGCTTGCATTAGAGGCACACCACGCACCCGTGTGCCGGCTGGCTTATTTTCCTTGACCTCACCGGAGGCATCCAACATGGAACCGGGGAATCGTAACATATCATTGCGATGCATAACATACAGCTGGATATTGTGGGTCTGGGTGGAGTTGGGCGTTTCCTCGACAACTACCAAATTCACCGGGCGATTGACTAGCGGTGATATGTCCGAAGTAGTCATGACCACACCATCGTCGAGCACCGTAAAATACTTGGCATACTCGTTGTCCAACATGTGGTACGAACCATGCTGATAGCTAAAGTGCCCCGAGTGATGGTTGTTGCTGTTGGTGTCGGTGTAATTTGTGCTCTCGATGGGTTTTGTTTTGAAACGTTTTATACTAAAGCCCGGATAGGTGTCATGTGGCAAGACCAGGGACATGTCATTGCTGTTGGCGGTGGTGGTGATGGTGGAGGCGCCAGTGGCACCACCTGAGCCGGCCAACATGCGTGCTGCATTGGCTGCCGTTAGGCCATGTGAAGATTTGTGGGCAATATCGGATGTGGGCAAAGAATGCTCATGTTGTTGTTGCAGTGGGATTTGAGGCTGTTGTTGCTGCTGCTGCTGCTGATGTGTTTCGGAGATCTCTTGAGTAAAAACGCTTGCAAATTGACTATTTAGTGTTAATAAAATAAATGCAAATGCCAGAGTATAGCGACATAACGACGATGATGGCGATGAAAACGATAACGACGCGGATAACGAAACGGGCGACAACGAGGACGACGACGACCGACACGATAACCTTCTTCGAATCGAAGAAGCTGACGAAGAAGACAAGGACGCGGGGCCGTTATGTTCATTACACCTCAGACTTTTGTCTGCTGACATGATTCGTGGTGTGGTTTTTGTTGTTGCTGCTGATGTTCTACACTGGCTTACACTACTACTGTTGCTGCTGCTGCTGCTAAAGCTTTTAAGCTTTGAGCGCTTTTTGTGCGCTCGATTTTGTGCCATGGCTGTGGCACGCGTTGCGCGTTGTGAAGACGTTTAGGTTTTTTGTTTTATTTGCTGTGCCGGCGGTGTTTGTTCGAAACTGAATAACGACCTCTCCCTCCAACTGCCGATGCAAACAAATACAACAACAACAATATAATGTTGTTGTATTATTGTTGACGATAAATTAAGCGGTATTTATTCCAAATTTAGTTTGTTTCGTTTATTAGCACATTTTTGCTGGTGGTTGGATTAATTATTTTTGTTTGGTGACAATTCTTTGCGTTTTTTTTTTTTTTTTTTTGGTTTAGCGGAATATCTGCAAAGAAAAAGAGAATGAAATAAGGGTTTTTGTTAGTGAAAAACAATCAATAATAATTAGGGTAAAATATAAGGTATAAAATGTCAAAAATAAACGGATCATATGAAGGGCAGATTTTTTTATTCTCTTTAGCCTACAAAAATATCGAAAGGAGTGGGTCCACATACTCCTGACGGATGTGATAATTTTTGGAAAATGTTAAAATATGCGTGAGGTACCACATATAGTCGATCGAAGTATTCCAATTTCATACTTCATCTAATACAGATACAAATCTTGAACCCTATGTTGGGGAGGTACCAGCAAAAATGGTCCGATCTCTACTAGCTTTATAACAGATCTTGTGTTGATGGAAATATTGAGATGTACCAAGTCTGAATGGAATCGGATGTTAATTTTGCGTTGTATGTGCTTCGTGGATATTCAAAATGTTGACCCTTTGATGGGGAGGTACAAGAAGAAATGGTCCGATCTCTACCATCTTTATAACAGATCTTGTGTGGATGGAAATATTGAGATTTACCAAGACTGAATGAAATCGGATATTATTCATGGATATTCAAAATGTTGACCCTTTGAGGGGGAGGTACAAGAAGAAATGGACCGATATATCCCATCTTCACAGTGATAATTGAAATAATGGGATGTGTGTATGAAGAGTGTGTAAATATGAAGAGAATCGAATGTTTATTTCGGGTTTTATGTTCGTTTTGGTTAATCAAAACGCTGATCCCTTGTGTGGGAAGTACAAGAAGAAATGGTCCGATCTCTACCATCTTTATAACAAAACAAGTAAAAAAGCTGTAAGTTCGGCCGGGCCGAATTTTGAATACCCTTTACCTTTTGGAACGAATTTGGCAATTTTCAAAAAATAAAATCCTTTAAATATTCTCTATAAATACCGAATATAGCCATTATATTAGAATCTGTATGACGACGTGGACCTGCATAGGTAACATTTGTCATAAGCCATTACAATATTCAAATGCGAAACTTGAAAAAAATGGGTGAATAATGTAGCTCAAATCATCAGAACACCGTACATTGGGTGGTACCGTTCCATCGGAGCTATACGAAGACCTGGACTTGCATAGACAATTTTCTGTCATAGACTGTAGCATCCATTACGAACTTCAAATACGACATCTCAAACAATTTCGGTGAGAATTGTACCTAAAATCGTCAAAATACCGAATATAGGGAGGTATTTATATGTGGGGCCTATACAAAGTCCTGGACCTGCATAGACAACTTTCTGGCATAGGCTGAAGTATCCATTACAAACTTCAAATACCAATTTTGAAACAATTCCGGTGAATAATGTCGCCAAAATCATAAAAATACCGAATATAGGGAAGTACACTTATACGGGGGTTATAAGAAGAGATGGACCTGTACAGACAATTTTCTGTCATAAGCTGTAGCAGCCATTACGAACATCAAATACCAAATTTAAAACAATTCCGGTGAATAATGTCGCTAAAATCATCAAAATATCGAATATAGGGAGGCAGTTATATGGGGGTTATACGAAGACGTGGATTTGCACAGACAATTTTCTAATGTCGCCAAAATCATGAAAATACCGAATATAGGGAAGTACACTTATACGGGGGTTATAAGAAGAGATGGACCTGTACAGACAACTTTCTGCCATAGGCTGAAGTATCCATTACAAACTTAAAATGCCAAATTTGAAACAATTCCGGTGAATATTGTCGCTAAAATCATCAAAATACCGAAAAAAGGGAGGCACCATTACGTGGGGGCTATACGAAGACGTGGACTTGCACAGACAATTTTCTGTCATAGGCTGAACTATAAATAAAGAACTTCAAATACCAAATTTGAAACAATTCCGGTGAATAATGTCGGGAGGTACTGTTATTTTGACGTAGGCTGTAGTATCCATTACGAACTTTAAATAACAAATTTGAAACAATTTCGGTGAATAATGTCGCTAAAACCATCAAAATGCCGAATATAGGGTGGTACAATTATATGGGGGCTATACGAAGACGTGGACCTGCACAGACAATTTTCTGACGTAGGCTGAAGTATCCATTACGAACTTCAATACCGAATTTGAAACAATTCCGATGAATAATGTCGCCAAAATCAGCAAAGTACCGAATATCGGGAGGTACCATTATATGGAGGCTATAGCAAAACGTGGATCTGCACAGCAATTTTCTGTCATATGCTGTAGTATCCATTATGAACTTCAAATACCAAATTTGAAACAATTCCGGTGAATATTGTCGCTAAAATCATCAAAATACCGAAAAAAGGGAGGCACCATTACGTGGGGGCTATACGAAGACGTGGACCTACATGGCCCATTTTTAATATCAAAAGTCCTGCAGACATAATATATATTTGAGTAAAATTTTATCAACCTAGTTGGTTTCGCTCGGAAGCTAGAGTGATTTCCACAGACGCACAGACGGACGGGCATCGCTAAATCGACATAGAATTTTATGCTGATCCAGAATATTTATTTTGTGGGCCCTAAAATGTATATTTTGAGGTGTTACAACGAAATGACAAACTCAATATACCCTCTATGCTATGGTGAAGGGTATAAAAAAGGAAATTTTTTTAAATAAATTTTTGAAAAAGACTCTTTTATCGGTCAATTTTTGATGAGAATGTCCCTTTAAACGATTGCGTCAAAAATTTACGATATTAGGCAGAAGATCCTTGAAATAATGGCTTGCCTACTGTTGTCTGGTATTTTTATTTTTTTTATTTTTGATGAGGAGATAAGTGAAAGAAAATCTTAAAGAACTACGATATTCGGTCAGGGGGTCACCGGAAATCTATTCCAAAAAAATCATAACTTTTCATAGCTAAATCTTAGAAATGTTCTTTAAATCCACCAAAAAGTCTTAAAAAAATAGTAATAAATAGTATTAGTCAGGAGGTCCTTCAAATAAAAAACGGTATTCGGTCAGGAGGTTCTTTAAATTTTGGACTTTTAAGTCGGCATGTCACTTTCTAAAAATATGCGGTCCAAGAAATCCTTCAAAAAATAAAAAAAATTATTGAACTTTTCATAGCTTTAATTACACTATAAGTCCTTAAAAAATAGTAGTAAATTGTATTAGTCATGAGGTTCTTCAAATAAATGAACGGTATTCGGTCAGAAAGTCCTTTAAAAATATAGAAAAAAATATCGGACTTTTCAGTCGGTATGTCACTTTCTAAAAATAAGAGGTCCAAGAAACCCCTCAAAAAAATCCTGGAAAGAAATACTTTAGAAAACAAAACATTGGTCAAGTGCTCCTTCAAAAAAAAATCTTTAAAATGCCCACCATTTTAGTTCATGAAGCCTTTGAACAAAATATTTATCGGAAGTGGTAAAAATTCCACGATTCTTTGTTTAATTGGTCTTAAGAAAAATAATGCGAAAAACGCATCAAAATCGTTCAACCGGAAGTCCCAACATTTTTTTTACAAATTCGTAGCTCCAAATCAAAGTTTAACAGACCACATCAGAGACCTCGTGCGCACTATCAGACTCAATCCAAGTTTGATAAAGATATTGCCATGTGCTAAATTTCGAATACTTCCTTCAAGTGGAGTAGTGTTCACAGGTCAACCAGATGGACGGACAAGCTTACATGGCTTGATCGACTCCAAATGTGCAGAAATGGATTTGTACAAAAAGACATAACTTCGATAAGGTTTGTCTTGGCCGTATAAGACATGGTTTGTAGTCATAAGGCTCCAAAGTGAAGTGTTTGTCTGATTTTAAATATCAAAACAGAATCATCAATACAATTTATTAAGACATAACTGATCGAAAATAAAAACATTTATACTTTTTTTCAAAACAACTTGTAACTCCGACAAAGCCCACCAAATTTGCATGACTATCACCGCCAATAATCTGCACCCAAAATCCCTTTGTTTTCTTCCAGCAATCAAAACAGAAACCAAATTTGAACAAAAAAAAATCAAATACCCAACCCAAAAAAAAATTAGAGTTGACAAAACCGTAGCTGACCAATTAACAAATTACATATCTTAATTAAATATGCGCTAACGAGTGAATATATAAAAATGGATGGACACAAGCAAACACACTGACACACCGCACACCACAATCTAATATGCGGTTTCACGGGATTATACCATCTGAAAAAAATATAAAGCCTACAGAAATCCACATAAGCCATGTCATACAAGATTGTCGTTGTTTTTTTGTTTGTGGGCTTAATGATCAGCTTTTGTTATTTGTTTCAATTAGTAGTAGATTATTATCATTTCATCCATAAATCTTAATATTCGACAAAAATAAAAATAAAATAAAAATGTATAAAGAAGCCAAAATCTATCATGACAAAGAATTAGTATGGTATTCTTTTGTGTGTGGATTACCGAATTTCAATTCGGCGAATGTTTACAAATCGCTTTGGCATGTTGGGGTTATAAATCACAAATGTATAGCACACGCGTCTAAATTTGAAAATTTTCGAAGAGGCGTTTAGATCTTCGAAAACATGAGACTCTCTTTCTGTCTGAAGAAGACATTTAAACCGTCTATTGTAGATATACGACATTTCAAAGGACTTGTAGAAATATAAAACCTTAAGTCCTAGGAGGATTTTATAAGGTGCCATGCAGATAGAAGAATTCTGAACTGGCCATATGTATATGGAAGAGTCCTTCTACTGATGATGATCTTTCAAGAGTCTCCTATACGAAGAAGACCTACTAAAGGTAATAGACACTAATAGTACCTAATTTTTTTTGTAAACATTTGACGAAAGTGGGTATACTGATTATTATATATTTTTATTAGGTCTACCAAAGTAAAAATCGCTGAATTTGTATATGGAGCTCCTAATCTTTGATTTTTGGAGAATATTTGTTAAAATATCCTTAATCAATCTTTTCAAAAAGCGTTATTTTTTCAGGAGTCATTAGAGCCCTAAGCGAGGGTTTTTAGCAATAGTTTAACAAGAACTATGAATGCCATCAAC